CCAGGACTTCAAATCCTGATGCTGTTTTCCATATAGTCCAGGACTTCAAATCCTGATGCTGTGTTTTCCATATAGTCCAGGACTTCTGATTCTTTGCTCAGCATGTGGATTAAATAAATATGATGAAAGGATACAACCCCGAATCACAGCTTTCCTTACTTTAGGCCACACAGTATTCCCTGGCTCTGTTCAAATGACTGCCTCTGGGTTCATGTACAGGTTCCTCGGGCACAAAGAAGTGTTCTGAAATAACCGTTATTTGACGTATCTACCCATAGTTTGTTTTGCTCCACCTACTCGAATGCCGTTGCGTAGTAAACATTATATATAGGTGAACAGTTTTGGTATTCTGTGCTTTCAGCCAAGATCCATCTCACATCAGCAGTGATATCCCCTGTTCCACATCCTCTTCTAAACCTAGTATCTGAATCAGTTTCTGGCATCTCCCTGTTGATGTACTGATGTAACCACTTGCATGTAACCTTAGTGATTTTGTTTGGGAATTTTCATGTTCTGTTGGGTCACCTCTCTTTAGAATGGGCACAAATATGCATCTCTTAGAGGCAGTTGTCCGGGTAACTGTGTCTTCCAGATTTCTTGACATGGGTGAGTGAATGCTTCCAGTGCCTCATCAGCTGATTGAAACGTCTCAATTGGCATTCTGTCATTTATTCGATCCTTATTCTTGCCGCTAATACCTTCAGTGCAGCTTGGAATTAGCCTTCCAAACCATTGAATCTGAGCAAATGTTATCCCCTGAATTGGTTGAATATTGACCAAATTTTTGGCACAGTGACTGTGTGCTCCTTCCATCTTCTTTAATTTCTACTTCCTGTATCGCTCGTTATCTCGCCCACACGGACCTTCAGTAGCACAGCTCGAAGCGTCATCTTTTTTCTTTCAGTCCTTGTGGCCTGTGACGGTCAGTGTCTTTACTTCTGAAGTATACATACATTGGACATTCTATATTAACATCAAAGGCCTACCTAAAGTGGAATCATTCTTTTTGAAAACCCAAAGGCTCCAAAATGACATGAAATTAAACTGTACAAGCTATGCAGAGTGTAATAAAATGCTTTAAGAAAGCAAAACGAAAGAAAGCCTTTAGCAGTTGGGACTTTGTCAGCTTGAGGCCCGTGTCTTCTGAGGCATCGTGACCAAGCGCCCGTGCAAGGGGAGAGGCCCCGGCCTCCCTCCGTGGGCCGGGGGCGGGGCTCAGTCGGATGGAAGAGGAGGCCGTGGGGATTGCAGGCTCTGGAAGCCAACAAGAGGCAAAGCCCTTCTGGGCCCTGGGTGCATGCGCCCCGGGCCATGAGAGGAGGGCCGGGGGGAGCAGGGCCCAGAGCTGCGATCCAATGAAAACTTGGGTACTAGAGGTCCCCCGGTTCCTGGGTGGCATAAATGGTCGTGATGGGTGAACTGAAAAGACCCACACAGTGGTGCAGCAGAAGAAAGAGCTGGTCATCTGCTTCCATACCACACACAGCTGAGAGCCCGGTGGAGGAGCTCTGCTCCGTCACACGGCAGGCCGCTGGGAGTCAGACCTGACCAGATGGCAGCAGGTGTGGCCGGTGTGTTTCCGGGCTTCCTGCGCAGGGCCCAGGCCATTCGGCCATGGTGGGTGGCTTCCTTCATCCACAGGCCAAGTGCATCATCCACGCCTGCCGTTGACAGCCCAGGCCCCCTGCCCCATCCCCAAGCCCTGGGCACTCAGCTCCTAGGAGGACCCCAGGGGGAACGCTCTGGCCTTGGATGTGACTGGTGTTATCTGCACAAGAACCCTGGAGCCCCGGCCAGCAGTCTTTCTCTCTCTCAGCTTGAGACATGGTCTGGTCTGCTAACCGGGTTGTGGGCACACTCCGTCTGCTGCTGCTGCTCTCCGCCTGGTGGGCTGCAGTTGCTCATGCGCTAGCCGTGCTTCAGAGTCTGCTGCCATCCTTTCTGTTGGTTTGGTGTTTGTTTCTTCCGTGGGAAAAAGATAAGGCAGTCCGACTGAGCCCATCAAGGTTGACAGCCTTGGGAACCCACAGGGGCACTCTGCCGTTTCTTAGAGGGTCACTGATAAGGAATCGACTGGTTTCTGCCCATTGTGAGCGCTGTGCTCTGTGTGGGGGCGGTTTGGCCCGAAGGTGGGGCGTCTGACGTGGTGCTGGAGGCTGAGTAGCACACTATGTTCCGAGAGGTCCGCTGGTGGCCCTGGGGCCTCGGCGCTGTGGCCAGGGAGCCTCTAGGGTCCTTCCATGGCCCCCAGAGTGGTCAGGCCTTCCCAAAAAAAGACAAGTAGCCATCTCGCAGTCCAGCTCACGGGAGCCTGCCTGGCTTCCCAGCAGCCTGTGCCCCTGAGAGGCACCTTGAGGGGAGTTGCACCGCTAACTGTGGGTTAGTAGACTAGTGTGCCATGCATGCACCCCTGAGGACGGACAGACTTGGTGTGCACATGGACTGGGCTCGGACACCGTGCACTCGCTGGGAGGGATCAAAGAATGACGACCTTTGACTGGCAAGTTGAACCTCATAGCAACCTACAGGCAGAGTAGAACTAGAACTGCCTCCTGGGATTTTCAGACTTCTAGACCATTCTCCCTGGGGGTGGCTGGTGCGTTTGAACGGTCTACCTTCAGGGTAGCCGCTGAGCACCTTCAGCACCAGGCCCCCAGGACTCCTTTGACAGCCGGTGACAAGAGGCAGCTCCAACAGGCAAGGTGAGCTCGTCGCCACTCTCCCCAAGGTCAGCTGACTTTCTGATCTCCCTTGCCTTTCCCAGCACGCACCGCTGCCCCACGCACGTTCATGTCAGTGTGGTGCCTCTTGAGGAGGGTGTCTTGGGACCTAGTGTCAGGGTCACCCCCACCTTGGGAATGTCGTTTCATCGAGAGCTCAGTAGACACACACCAAACATTTCAGAGGTCGGACATAGGCAGTGGAAAGCTCTGGGTATATTAGGAATTGTCTGTGTGCTTCTTGCTGTGAAAATTATGTTCAAATAACGATGGCTCTCGTACCTTTCTTCCCCAAGGCTGAAGTCCGAGCAGCTGTGTTTCTAGCCCTGGAGGAGCAGGAAAAAGTAGAGGTATGACCTTTCCCCTTTCCACATTTCTAGTTAGCATATGGCAGCCTGCCGCCAAGGAAAGTCTGGGATGCTGAAGATGCTGTTGTGAGGGGTGTTGAGCTGGGTGTGACCCTGGCAGCCCAGGAGAGCGACACCTGGCCCTGCACCCACGTGCTGGTCTGGCCCATGGGGCTTCGGGTTTGTTCATCTGTCTCAGTCTGGACACTGCACTGACACCTGCCCACCATGGCCGCCCTGCTGCTCTTTGAAGTGCTGGTGATGTAGCTTCCAGCAGGAGTGTGCCAGCCACCACAGTGGGACAGACTGGAGACCGCACACGTGAGACTTTGTGCGTGTGTATGGTGTGTGTTTGGGAGCAGTCACCCTGATGATCCTGAGCACACAGGTCCGTCTCACCCCCTGAGCTAGAGCAGCTCTCGGGGACCTTCCTCAGCCCAAGTGAGAAGGCTCGGGCTTTCCCAGTCACCTGGCCCTGTCAGTTCCGTGTCTGAGTGCACATCAGATCACCCCGAGCCAAGCGGTTTCTTCCCCAGACAACCCTGCCACTCTGCTGCCCTCCAGGCTCGATGCGTCCTGAGATCCGCCCCCACAGGGCCTCACGGGCTTTTTATGGTGCGCAGCTGACCTCGTCCCTGTTCCCGTCGTTGTCCTCATCTTTCTTACACCACAGCTGTGGGAGGGTTAGTTGGCCCACAATAAGGGGAACATATTTGAGGTGTACAATTTGTTAAATTTGACATTCGTATGCAACTATGAACTGATAGCCATAGCCTGGCAGTGTGGCCCAGAACTGTGGCCCTAGTGGCCAAACCCAGGAGAGTGGAGCTGGCAGCCTGGCCCAGGACAGGAGACTTGGCAGCACGGCTCAGGACAGTGTGCCCTTTGCAGGCTCGGGCGACCCAAGCCCCGAGCAGAGCTGTGCCAGTGAGATGACACGGTGCATGCTCCTCTGTGGTGGGGCGCACTCGCAGCTCCTGCACACGGAAGTGCCCACTCCTGCTCCGTGCCATCGTCTGCTGAGCAACTCCTTGCCAAGGGACACGTGGGCTCCGCCGGGTTTTACTGCTATAGCTGTCCGTTGCTCGGGCCGTTCCTGTACACGTCTGTTGTGGAATCTGTGCCTTCTTTGCTCTTGGGGGAGAGAATCCCTACCTGTAGATTGGCTGAATCATGTGGTAGTGTAGCTTAAGACCTCGTGAGCTTCCCGCGTGGTTGTACATCTTGCATTCCCATCAGCGGTGGACGGTACGTCCACTCAAAGCCATGCCAGCAGGTGGTCGGCCAGATGTGTGCTGGCGTCTCTGGGGGACTGAGTTTACATTCCTAACGATGGCATTCTGGTGCTGTCGGGTAAATGTCCCACTCTTAGCTTCAGGGCTGGCGGTTCAAGCCCATCAGCCACTCCTCTGGAGAAAGATGAGGCTTTCTGCTCTTATAAAGATAGACAAAGCCAGGGAAAGCCTCTCTGTACGGACCAGGTCACCAAGGCTGGCATTTGACTCCATGGCAGTGGGTTTCAAGTGTAAAAAGGAGGAACCCTGTAGCACATTGGCTAACTGCTTAGCCACTAACCACAAGGTCTGTTTCTGCAAAGATGCTCATCTTGAAAACCCTGCAGGACAGTTGTAGCCTGCCCTCTAGGGTCTCGGAGTCCGAATCAACTCTAGGGCAATGGTGAATAATTAATGATATTGATCACGCTTCCTAGAGATGGATGGGTGTGTATGCATATGTGTGTGTGAACACGTGTGTGTGCGAACTAGGGTGCACCTGACCTAAGCCATGGTATTTTCAGCCCCTCCTATGCACGTGACAGTTGGACGTTGAATAGGAAAGCCTGAAGAAGATCCATGTGTTTGAGCCGTGGTGCTGGAGAAGACCATCGAAGGTACCAGCGAGTGTTAGAGGCCAAACTGTCTGTCTTGGAAGCAGTAAGGCCAGAGTGCTCCTCAGAGGCCAGGACGGCGAGACATCGCCTTACATGCTACAGCTTGTCGGGAGACGAGCCCCTGGAGACGCCTGTGATGCCTGTGTTGTTTTACGGAGCCCTGGTGGCGTAGGGGTTACGAGTTGAGTTGTAAGGTCTGCGATCCGTCAGCTGCACAGTTCAAAACCACCATCCGCTCTGGGAGGAAGGCAGGGCTTTCTACACCTGTGAACAGTTGGACTTGGGAACTCAGGGCCGTCACCGTCGACTGGAGGCAGTGCGGGTGCTTTTGTCTTGTTCTTGTCGAGTTCTCAGGGATCAAAGGCTGATAGCAGATGAGTGCTCTGCACATGTTTCTACTGTCTGACTATCTCTGGTGTCTTTGGCAGGCGCCTGGCGGCCCTGTGGGAGAGGCATTGGGCTGCTAACTGCAGAGTCGCAGGTGGGAGCTCCCGGTCGTCCTTGGGCGCAGGCCCCGCTGCCTGTCCTGTGAAGCTGGGCCGCCCGGGAAAGCCCGTGTCGGCGTCGGTGCGGATCAGGCTCCGTCTCGGAGGACGTGCTTGATGTGATACTGCCACTGGCTTTCCTCTGTGCCTGGTGCCCTTGGTATCGCGTTTAACAAAGTCACAATCATTTGATGTTTTCTTGATGTTTTAATTTTGAGAAATGATCAAATAGCACATTTCTGCGTTCATCAGCTTTAACCAGTCTGAATGATAATGGGTTGTTTACTTTTTTGCCATAAGATGAACTTGATCCGCATCTTGTAGTTAGTTGTTCTGACGACAAGTACAGGACCCTTACAATGTTATGTTCTTTTAACAGAACAAAGCCCCGTTAGTCAACGAGAGCCTGAAGAAGTTTTTAAACACGAAAGACGGTACGGTCTTCCTCTTGCTCTTTGACCTGTCTCTGAGTTTCCAGACCCTGACCCAGCTTTGGAGAAACGAGTGTCTGCAGGGCTGTGTGCCTCGTTGGGTGGGACATTCAGCCCTGGACATGGGACCTCCGGGCGGAGGGCACCGCTGGGGCCATGTGACAGAGCAGGCTGGGGCTGAGGGTACTGCTGGGGCCATGTGACAGAGCAGGCTGGGGCTGAGGGTACTGCTGGGGCCATGTGACAGCAGGCTGGGGCTGAGGGTACTGCTGGGGCCATGTGACAGCAGGCTGGGGCTGAGGGCACCGCTGGGGCCATGTGACAGAGCAGGCTGGGAAGGAGGTGTTTTCGTTGTTGGATCTGTCAGCTCACAGAGGGCCTTGTGGTTTAAGAACACGCTCGAGCGTTCTCAGACCCTTGGGAGGCCCGTGGGCTCAGCCACATTTCTCCTGTGGCCTTGGCAGGTGTGCTGGTGGCCAGTCTGGTGGCAGAATTTCTTCAGTTTTTCAACCTGGACTTGACCCTGGCTGTTTTCCAGCCTGAAGCCAGCACGGTAAGAACCAGGTCTGTCCTGGACACACCTCTCTCCCTCTCTGGTATGGACAGGTCTCCCGCGGCCCTCTTGGCAGCGTCTTGCACATCGGTGGTGTCCGGGGCTGGTGGACGGGCATTTGGTACCAGTGCTTTGGTCAGGAGTCAGCCGGCCGCTGTTGGTGGAAGCGGACGTTCAGGCCCTGCCCCAGAGTGCTCGTCCTTCTCCCTCATGGACTCTGCCGGGAAGCCCCCCGCCACTGGGTCCGGGGTGTGGCCAGGTCCCCAGGACCCTGCAGGAAGCCTGTCAGGAGGCTGGACAGCTGGTCAGGCCCTGGAGGATGCAGCGGAGACCCTGACCCAGGCCAGGGGCCGAGCTTTGGGCCGACAGCCCCGCCACAGCCGGCTTTGGACCACCCTCAATGGACGTGCCACAGTGACAGGCACCTGAGTGACCCTTCGCTGTCTGGTTTTGTATTTATGACAGGTGGGGCCGTGGCAACAATCCCCCCTTTCCCTGGAAGGCTGATTTTCACCTCATGGCCCCATATTGAACCCAACCACGTGGCTAGGTGCGCCTCAAAAAGATGACCCTTTCATTCAGAGTGCTTGGGGGGGAAGGAAACCCTAGATTCAAGGATGATCTATTGTGGAGACCCGTCTATTGAGCCTTAAGCAGACAGACACTCATCTGGACAGAGGAGGCCGTCCCATGAGAGGGTTCACAGCCTGAGGACAGGCAGCAAACAGCCACAGAGTTAGGGTTGGCCACAGTTGGGGCTGCAGAGCGGAGCTGAGGGGCACAGGCAGGGTGGGGTCAGTGCCGCAGGTTAGGAAAGCCTACCAACTGGGCGCAGGGCCCTCTGACCACCTGGGCCCCTGTTTCCATCCCTGGGGCCAGGCCCAGCAGGGAGGTGCTGTTGTCCCTTGCAGAAGCAGTTCTCCTGAGGGCAGAGCTGCCCACTGTGTGGTCTTGGGGACCTGCATGGGGCCTGAACCTCCTTGTTGAGTGCAGGGCCCCACTGTGAACCCCGGGACCTTCCACAAACCACGTGCCCAGAATTTCTTTCTGGTCTGGGAGGCCTCTTTCAGCTCTGGAGATGGTCTTATTTAGCGTCAAGCATGTTTGACCTGGCATTTCTCTTCCAGTTCCAGGGGCTTGAAGGCCGGGAGACTTTGGCCCGGGATTTGGGCATCATCGAAGCAGAAGGCACTGTGGGCAGCCCGCTGTTACTGGAGGTGGTCAGGTGCTGCCAGCAGCGGAAGAAAGGGCCACCCAGTGGGGAGGTAAGACGGGGCCCTGGCCTTGGTGCGGAGCCCTGCCAGGCTTCCGTGCACAGGGCCCATGGTGGAAACCAGAGCTGCCCGTCTCAGGCTCGCCAGGTGCAAGTTGTCTCGGAATCGTGTGTATGGGGGGTGGGGGGTGGGTGGAGCCTGCTGCCACCCTGCCCTGGAATGGAGACTGCTGCCCACAGCCTGGCTCTGGGCCCTCGCTGCTGGGGTGGGCTCTGCAGCCCCTCAGTGGTGACCGCAGAAGGAGCGAGGGTGGGTGTGAGAGTAGATGAGGGTGAGTCCCTGGGTGCCTGGCTGGGGCACAGTGGCGCATGTGGACTGCAGAGGTCAGTGCTCATACAGAAACCCTCGCTGACTGTTCTGCTTCGGCACAGTCGGGGTCGCTCTCTGTGAGTCCGTTTTGGGGATTGTGGTCAGGTGCCTTCACGTTGGTTCTGATCCATAGCGACCCTGTCCCTCAGAAGGAAGCACTGCCCGGTCCTACCCTGCCCCACACTTGTTCCTGTGCCTGAGCCCAAGGCTGCAGCCACCGTGTCGGTCCTCATCCAGGGCTTCCTCTCTTCGCCCTCGACGTGACCAAGCACGGTGCCCTTCGCCAGGGTCACAGCCTTTCTTTTACGGAGGACTCGGGCCATGCTTCTTCCCAGACAGACGGGTCTGCCCTTTGAGCAGTCCGTGATCCTCTGCATGTGCGTGGATGGTTTGCAGGGCCCCACGGCGGGCGGGGCCCTGAGCAGGTGAAGGCGGGCCCGTGAGCTCTCACCCTCCTCAAGAAGCCCGGTGGTGGTCACTGCTGACGGTGAGGTCACAGGAGTGGGAGCAAGGCGGGGCTGCTCCTGCCATACAGGGACAGTCTGGGAGCCCCCAGGGGCAGTTGGGGCACACCCTGTCCTGCGGGGTCGCTCTGAGTCCTCAGACGGGGGTCTGCTCTTGTGAGGCATGAGCCGCATAAGCCTCCCAGGCATGCCCTCTCCTGGTCCGCATCTTCCTGCCCCGCTCTCTGGCAGGCACGCACTGCCCTTCTGAGGAACCGCAGCGCGCCCCATTCCTGTGCTGTGTGAGGCGTGGAGGGAGGGAGCTGAGGCTGTGCTCGGCCTTCGTGCGCTCAGCGCCCCTCAGGACGGCCCACCCGTCACCTGGGCTGTAGGGAGGCTTCAGGTGCCACACATTGTGAACACACCTTGCTTTGGTGTGGGGAGCAGTGGTCTCGTGTGGAACTTGGGCAGCCTCAGCTGTGCCTATGGCCAGGGGTGAGCAACGGGCCTGCCAGGGCCCAGGATGGGCCCCGCTGCCGGTCCTCTGGTATGCTCCCTCGCTGATGGTTCGTGTGCTTAAGCTGCATGGGTGCCAGGGAAGCAGGATGCAGACTCAGTGAGGGACCCCCCCGCCCCCACCCCCCTGTTCCTGCTCCCTCCTGAGGTCCCCACCTCTCAGGTCCAGCACTGGCCTCTAGGTCCCGCTGCCGCCACCTGCCTGTGACATGGCCTTGGCTGCTCTCCCCCCTCCGCAGGGCTGGGTGCCTGCCTCCGTGTGTCCCTCTGCCGCGTGTCCCTCAGTGTCCCACGTGTTCCTCACCTGGAGCTGAGCCAGGTGCTAGCCTCCCAGCTTCTGAGAGGACTGCAGCTGTGTCCCCGGCCCCAGCATTCCCTGCACTGCGATGATGACGATGACCCCTGGCTGCTGTCCACCAGGGTGCAGGTGACTCCAGAGTCTCCTTAAGTCCCAGCCCAGCTTAACCCTTTCCCAGAACTCCCACTTTGGCAGAAACCACTGGCACCTATATGTCCTCCGTGGTGCCGGGTACCCTCTGCATCCTCCCGACTGTTCCCAGGCCTGAGCTCGTGGCTGCAGCCCCTGTCAGCCCACCTGCTGAGGGTCCTCGGCCTCACCAAGCACAGCGTCACCTTCCAGAGACGGGTGCGGCAGGGTTACTCCTTAGAAGCAAGATGTTGGGACTGTGTCTCAGAGCGCTGGTGGACATGTTGCTCCTGGTGTGGGGGTTGGGGAGGCCAGGTCCTAGTACCTGGACTCCCAGTGAAGTATGAAGCCACACCAGACGGACACAAGGCCCCGCTGATCCAGTTCCAGCATCTGGTCCTCGTGTTTGGACTGGGGCTTCTCTTGCTTGGTGCTGTGTGCCCCCGTCTCTCCGTGGGGACACCCGTCCTGGGCAGAAGCTCTGCTCCCCTGCACCCTCCTCTGCAGGAGGGCCCCACAGTGGACCGGCATGCACTTTGCTGTCTCCATTGGTCACGGCAGGGTTCCCCACTTGAGGCTGCCAGTGGACCCCACCATTGTCCCTGCGGCTTGGATCTGCACGTGGGGGCTGGCCGCCTCCAACACGGACGTGCCAGTGCAAAGAGGCTGTGTGCCCCCCTCCAGCCTGTGTCCTGTAGGACAAGGAGCCGCTCTTGAGCTGCCGCGCTCCATTATGCAAGCTCTAGCCCAGCTGCATTCGAAACCTCGGACGTTCGTCCATCCGTCCTCCACCTGCTGCTCCACAGAGGAGCAGCGTCATAGGTGCCCCAAGCCAGAGGGGAGGAACGGTGGGACGTCCTGGACCCTCTGCCCCTGCCGTTCCTGCTTCACTGTGGCCCAGCTGGCTTTAGCACACCTCTGTCTGCCACACTGCATTGTGCTCGCCCAATCTGCAGGGATCAAGAGGCAGGTGTGCAAACAACAAGGGCACACTGCATGGTTTACAGTCAGGAAAGGTGGGCAAGGCTGAGCAGATCATTGGAGACGCTGGGCATCAGGATGGGGGAGGCTTGGTGACAGAGTGCTACATGCAGATGGCACAGCCCTGCTGCTGACAGTGAGGAGCAACTGAAGCACCTGCGGATGGAGATCCAGGGTCAGCCTTCAGTGTGGATGACAACTCACACCTGGACCAGTAGGCAACCTTGTCATAAATGGAGAAAAGGCTGAAGCTGTCCAGGATTTGGGATCCATAATCAGTGCTCAGGGGAGCAGCAGCCAAGATTGATGGGCACACTGCAGTGGGTGAATCTGCCGCACAGTCCTCTTCGGAGCGACTGAGCACTCGGGCGCCTGGCCCAGGGCACGGTGTTTTTAATCATCCTGTGTACGTGTGAGCGTTGAGCGTGGAGTAAAGAAAATAAGAAGGATTGAGGCACCTGGATGGTGGTGCAGCCTAAGGATATTGAAAGGCCCGCCGAGAGACAAGCAACATTTTCTTGGAAGAAATAGTGCCAGGATGCTCGTTAGAGGCCAGGATGGCGAGACTTCGTCTGATGTACTTTGTTGTGTTGCCGCCGTCTGTTTTGTTTCTGTCTGACATGCTGTGTCAGGAGAGACCAGTCCCTGGAGCAGGCCTCATGCTTGGTAAAGTGGCCGGTCAGTGGAAAAGAGGAAGGCCTTCGACGAGGTAGATGGACACAGTGGCTGCACCCGTGGGTTTCGACAGGAGCCGTGGTGAGGATGGCTTCACTCTGTTGTGAGCGGGCACTGACTTGATGACCCCTAACAGCAGCACAGCTCCCTGCTCGGGGCCCATGTGCAAACCCCCCATCTGCGTGACCCGGAGCGCCTGTTCCGGTGCCCCGCCCCCCCACCAGCTGCCGTGGCCTTCCTGCCCTGCCTGCCCTGAATGTGGAGCCTGGTGGTTGCAGGGCTCTTGGACTTTGTCTTTTCATTTTTGGGTCCCATTTGACACCCCCTGCCCTTGGCCAGCCTGAGATGGAGATCTGACCACTGGCTTCTTCCCTTGCCGTGCTCCGGAGGTGCTTCTTCTTGCTCCTCTCGCCTGCTCTGCCTTGTCTCTGCACATGGGTGGACCCCTGTGCTGGGTTCCGAGCTCACGGTGGACACACAGCCATCTCCCTTTTGTGTCTGACCTAGTGATTTCCAGAGAGCTTTGCTCAGGCTCGGTGGGCAGGCCCTGGAGACTTGTGTGCAGAGAGGGAAGGGTAGATTGATGAAATATGGAGACACTTGGAGTACAGAGAAAGTGAGACCCATAGACCCATGTGGACAAGACTGCCAGCAGTAGCCCAGAGAGGAAGGGACAGAGACGGAAGCAGTGGCCGCCGTGTTCACTGATCCAGCGCCCCCTTGAGAGGGTCACGGGCTATGATCCTTCTGCCAGGCCTCTGGGTGGGTTCCAGCCACCAGCCTTTCGGTGGTAGCCAAGGGCTTAACCATCATCACACTCAGAGACTCGTGTGTGGCCCAGTCAGGTTCCAGTCTTAGGCTGGGAACAAGCTCTGCTGCGGGCATGGCAGCGGGGGGGGGGGCAGGTAGGGGTTTTCCCACTGTGGGATGTGGGCCCAGGGAGATGCCCCTGGGGGTTATGAGGGGCCTCCTGAGCAGGCTGCTGCTTAATGAAGTGGAGTTGGGCGTGACCCCAAGGCAGGCAGGGGAGGAGGAGCGTGGGACCCTGCAGGTTGCGGGGTGGTGGGGGAGGCACAGGAGGCAGGTGGGGCCTACTGAGTGCTGACTATTAGCATCTTACGGGTGCAGGTCATTAGAATCTAACTTTCGTGGTGGTGGCTCCTGGTAAGGGGAGGAAACCCATAAAGGATATTTATTGGGAACAGATGAGAGTCTGATATTGCGTGGTCTTTACGTCTTACATTTGTTGCGTCCTTTAAAATGTTTCCATGATGTTTGGCTTATTTTAGGGTGCACTGGACCTGTCTGATGTACATTCCCCACCAAAATCACCCGAGGGCAAAACGAGCTCACACACGATTCCCAGTAAGGTGAGTCTGCCTGTCGGCCCTCTGACCGGCCGGCCGCTCTGGTTCTGAAGCACAGTGCGTCGTCCCGAGCTCGCGGACGGGGTCCTCTGCCTGCAGTCTACTCACTGGGAACGCTTCCTCCTCTCACAACGGCGTGACACACATCCCTAGCGGAGAATGTGGGGTTCCAGGCTATAAAATTGTTGTGTTGAAAAACTGCGTTTCAACAGGCGTTCCATTTAGGAATCGTAAATCATGATGGTTCCTGTTAGCGAGCTAATCTGGTGGGATTGATAAGGAAATCTGTGGACTTTGGTTATATACGTATTTGTTTCGATGCTTTTTTATGAGTTGATTTCAGGGATGGGGTATGTGGGGTAAAAATTGAGTTGAACCCTGAGATTTAAAATCAAAGCTGTTGGAGTGGTGACGGGAATGGATCAGAAGACAGATGGAGGGCTGCACAGCAGGACAGATCCACGTCCATCGCACGTGGGATGTGTGCTCAGATTTGAGGTGTCTGCTCTGAGAAGACGGGGCCCCTAGAGCATCCCTGGGGACGAGGCGTTCTCTTAGGTCCAGGCTGTGGATGAGGGGAAGTCCCACCTGGTGGGACTTGACAAGGCCAGTAGCCACTTGACGAGGCCACTCCTTCCTGTGCAGGCGTCGGGGCACAAGCCTCGCAACGGAGAACTTTCTGGGGTTTTCTGCTGCCTGAGTCTGCTGCGCAGCGGTTTTAAATTTTGAAACCCGAGCAATGGGTGCATTGTAGCCCACCAGGGGCCACCCTCGGAGACCTCAGGCCAGCCTCTCTGGACAGGACCCGTGCCCCTGTTGAAGAGACGCTCCTGCCTGGGAGGCTGAGCCAGCGTATGGAGCAGGGTCGTCATCATGGCTGTGAAAGGCCACAGGGACCAAGGGCATCCTGCCAGATGCCAGAGCCCTTGAGAAAGCCATGCGCTTTGTTGACGTGGCAGCTCTCAGGGGGTAAGCCTGCTGCGGAGCACCTGCAGAGGGGGCAGGTGTGTGTGTTTGGGGGGGGGGAAGATGAGCAATGTTCACGTCCTCCACGTGGTATTTCTCTGATGCAGTATGGATGTGTGCCTACAGAACTCTGCAGTTCTCTCTTCGTTGCCGCTCATTGTGACAGGAGCCCTGTCTGTCGTCAGTCAGTCCGGGCGGGTGTGCCGTGTACCCACGGACAGCGAGGCCAACTTCTGGGTGTGTGCTGCCTCTAGGCGACACCCTCAGTGCCGTTGTTTCTGGTGAACCTGCATTTGGGGCCCCACTGGTTCCACGTTGGGCTGTGATCCCCCGTCAGCAGCTAGGAACAGCAGCAGCTCTGCAGGAGCAAGACCAGCTGTCCGCTCCATGGACAGTCACGGCCTTGGAGACCCACACAGGGCGCCTTGTGAGTGGGCAGAGAGAGAGTGCAGGAGCCCTCTGGGCCCTGCTGGTGCAGTGGTGAGCACTTAGTTGCTTGTTGGAAGATGAGGCGCGGCTTCTGGCCAGGTTTACGGCCTGGGAGGCCCTCGGTGTCTCTAGGGCACTGGACGTGGTGGGTTGTGCTTCCCCATCAGCCTTGTGGATCTGTGCTGTCTGATGGCCACTGAAGACCAACCATGGGGGGCCCTGGTGCCAGCAGGGGGAGTCTGTTGAAGTTAAGGACTTTTCTGGACGTTTTAGAAATAAAAACATAATTTCTTTTGCCCTAAAGGCTCTCAGTTTGGGTTTTGCACGATCTTTTCCACCTCATGGTCTCCTCAGTGGGTGGAGTTCTCGGCACCGGGCTTCTCCAGACCACTGCTGCCCTCTAGTTGTGGCTGCACGTGGTGGACACTGGGCACTGCGGCAGCTGCCTGCCTGCCTGTGACCAAGCCACTGTTGGGAACCGTGGTGAAGCATGAGGAAGCGAGGACTAAGACTAGGCCCAGAGGACGGGCTCGGGTCTCCCGGTTAAGAACCATTGTGTAGATACTTCTGTTAACTTAGTTAAGAGTCAGTGAGCTGTCTCAGCTGCCGACTCTGTGGTAAACTGCCCTTTTATTTTCGTGCTCAGATACCGAGGTATAAAGGACAAGGTAAAGCGAAGAGAAGCGGGGACAAGTCTGGTGACAAGGTAATGCACGAGGGCACCGGGCTGGCCTCGCGCTCCCTCGGGCCGACAGGGTGGGCGGCCGCCGCACTGCCTGCAGGCACCCTCCAGTCTGCAGTGGGCACCGTGCCAGGTAACGGCGTGGTGGTGGCCCCAGCAAACAGAAGTCAACGCTCCCTCCCGTCTTGATCCAGTGTTTGAGTCAGTGCTGCCACGTGTCCTTGAGGAGTTCCTGCCTGTATGGTTAATTAAAAACGACGTGACGCTTTTTATCTGGGGAACCGAGATGGCCCCACGGCTGCGCGCGCATCAGCTCCAATTGAGGAGCTGTAGACCAACGCAGTCTCCTCCCCGCCCTGCTCTCTGTGCCAGGCTGGCCCCAGTGCAGCGGGCTGGACATGGGTTCCCTCCAAGGGCAGCTAGCAGAGCTCTGAGGCGCCTCCTTCCTCCTGCGTCCTGCCGTTGTCCGTGTCTCACGCCTAGTCCTGTGAGGCTCACTCGCCACATGCCGACTTCACCTGCAGGCATTTCCTGCTGGAAATGGAAGGGTCTGTAAAAATGACACTTGCTAAGTGATCTGGAGAGAGTCCTGGTGGCTTAGTGGGTTATGCACTGGGCTGCTAACTGCAAGGTCAGCGGTTCAAGCCCACCAGTTGCTCCTCCGAAGAGAGATGAGGCTGTCTTCTCCCCGTAAAGACGGGCAGCTTTGGAACCCCTGTGGGGCAGTTCTCCTGCCTCCTTCCGGGTGGACGGCAGTGGCTGTGGCGTGGTGCGAGCGGGTGTGGTCCTGCTGCTGTTCTCAGTAAAGGAGAAGCTGTGGGAACCTTCCTAGGCACCCAGGTGTTCTGGAGACCGCGCTGAGCAGTGAGGACGCCGTGCTGCATGCTGGGGCCGGCCGCTGGCCCAGGTGGCACGCCGCAGCATAAGCGGAAGGACACGCAGAGCCCTCGATTCACACCCGGGCTTTGTGCTTTAAGGTGAAAGGGCCTTGTTTTCCCACCGCACTGCTTTCGCAACCTCGGGCCAGGCTTTCCAGTGAGGTCAGGCGAGCTGCAGCAGTTGGCGTGTGTTTGGGACACAGAAGATGATGAAGCAGGCTCCCCGTGCACTCCCGGGTGCTGCCGGGGCCATCGAGGCCCAGCCCCTTCTGCCTGGTTGCTGTAGCTGAGCTGGGGACCCTTCCTCCTCCTCCTTGCTGGGTCTGTTGTACCCGGGCTGCCGAGGCCCGAGGCTCCTGGCAGCCAGGCCGCCTGTCAGCACTGCTGTGGCAGTACTCATGGTTGCCCGTGTGGGCAATGCTCCCCGGGCTAAGCTGTGTGCCCAGCCTGCATAGCCACACGGGCAGCCCTGCCCTTCTGCCCCGGGGCCAGAACTGGCCGTTGGAGGAGAGCCCAGCACTTGCCTCCTGACAATGGCAGTCGGGAACACCCAGTGCGGGGGTGGGCTGCCCAAGGAGCCACGTGCAGGGCTCGTTCAGGGAGCCAGCCAGGCGAGGAGCTTCCAAGGTTCCTGGAGATTTCCTGTGAGCCTTTTCTTCTGCTCTCCATGCGTCTTTGAAGCCCCTTTGTCTCAGAGAAAGAGCAGCCATGTGGACACTGATGGCTGAAACACTTACCAGGTTTTTACCCGAGCCGTGTGAGTCTGCCACGTTTCTGTGCCAGTAGTTCCTCCCCCAAAGGTGGTCTCTTAAGTGCCTCTGCCGTTCCCGCACCCCAGTGCTGGGCGGAAAGAAGCGGGGCAGGCGGGCAGACAGGGTTGCACAGACAGACAGAAGGCCTGCATTCCACGGGAGACACAGCAACGGAGGATTTCACGCAAACTTCAGTGTGTGAGACCGGGACTTCTGGTTGCCTGCTGTTGCTGGGGTGGAGGTGGGGACACAGCGAGGAGGGTGGGTGGAGAGGAGGAGTCCTTCCTTAGAGCTTTACCCACAGAGCATGTGCCAGCCCGGTGGTGCTGCCCGCCCTGTGCCGTGCCTCCCAGTGTTTCTACCAGGACGCTTCTGAAGGATGCTTTCTTGTCTTCAGAGCAGGCCAGTGATGGTCACAGTGGGTCTGTCTGTGGGGCTTCTCAGGCCAAAGCTATTTCTGCGTCTCTCCAGGCCCCTCAGGCTTACACGGGAGACCGGCGTTAGCACGCACACATGCTGCACTCAGGCTGCAGGAGCAGCCCCCACGCAGCCCTGCGGCTCTGTGAGCCTGTTGGTCCTCGCCCAGCCGCACTGCTGTGCGTGAACCCGTTGTTGCAGCCCCTGCGTCCCCACGTCTCAGTGCGGGGCCTCCTTTTGTGCTGACCCTGGGCTTTGCCAAGCCTGATGTTCTTCCCCAGGAGCTGGGGGCAGAACTTGGTGGTGCGGTGTGCGTGTGCGGTGTGTGTGTAATACCTCTGTGAACTCGAAGGCAGTATCCGGCTAGGCGCTCTGTGACGTAGTGGGGACACACTGTACTAACTGCAAGGTCCACAGTTCAGAACCACCAGGTGTTTGTTGGGAGAATGACGAGGCCTTTGGGTCTTACAGAGAATACAGTCTGGGACCCATGGGGCGGTTTCCAGCCTGGCCTACAGGGCTGACCGTGAATCAGCCAGAGAGCAGTGAGTGTTTGGGATCAAGGGAACGTTTTGTGATTTTGCGTTTTCGGTACACTCCTGGCTGTTCAACAGTACTTTACCTGACCCGAGTCTCCCTGAGACCCAGGGCCAGCAGGTCTAGCCTCGGGTCATCACCGACCAGTCTGTCCTGGAGACGGGAGGCTGATCACGGCCAAACATGCAGTGTCTGGGGTGGTGCCGGTGATTTACAACTGTGTTTGTACGTGGGCAGCTTCTCTATGTTTGAAAATAGTAGGAAAACCTCGAAGTGGGGGTGGGAGTGGGGTGACAGAACTCAGCCTCTGTGAAACCCCACACACCGCCTAGAAGGGCAGCCGCCTGGGCACATCTCCCAGGTGTCTGGGTGCAGCCTGTGCTGGTCTACGTGGGGCGCCGCAGTGTTCACCTGCGGTTTCTGCGTTCACCCTTTGCTGTTGCAAATGCTCCCTGGTGTAACCTGTGCTCTAACTCATCCCAGTGCGGTCTCTGTCCACAGTATGGGGACTGATGGGCACGGTGTACCTGCCCTGCTGCGTCCTTACCTTAAACTCTTTCCCAGCCGCGTGTCCCTCCCTCTGTACCCTCCTCACCACTTTCTTTGGGAAACAGAGCCGGCTGTCTGTCTGTGGAGCTCCTGGCTGGGACAGCAGCAGGAGGCCCCTTGTGTGGTTAGTGCGGGCTGCAATGTGGACTACCTTCCAGGTTCCTTGTGTCAGTTGAGCGGAGCCCCGAGGGAGTCGTGGCTGCTACTTGCAAGGTTGGCAGTTTGAAACCACCCACTGCTCCGTGGGAAAAAGGTGGGATTTCTACTCCCGTCAACAGTTGTATCCTCGGGGACTCACAGGGTCAGTCCCGCCCTGTCCTGTAAGCCCACTGAGGTCCGGTGTGGACCAGGTGGCAGTGGTGGTGCGTTTGTGTAAGCCGAGTCTCCTCTGCAGGACCTGAGTCACTTAGCAAACTGCCAGTTTCACCCTCCCTTTCAACCTTGGCCACGTCGTGCGATTCAACCTCATCCGAGAATGTGCACGCGAGGCGCTCAGCCCTGGGAGTGGACTAACTCGGGGCTGCTGGGCCCTGCCCCTGCCCTGGCCAGCAAGTGTGACAGGGGACTCAGTTCCCCTTCTCAGAGACCCGCCCGCTCCCAGCCCCTGCTTTTGAGGACTGGGTGGGCATGGCCTGGGTATCGGGAGCTGTGGGGAACGCCGCCGGCCCTCGCGGTCCCCCTCGTGTGGGTCACTGGTCTCGGTGCACCGTCAGAGAGGTGGGAAAGCCGCCCAGTAGTGCACACGGCTCAGCTGTAGAGACAGTTGGTCTAAGACCTCAACCTGTGGACATTTAAGTAAGAGTGGGGGTGGGTGGAGTTATCAGGCATGTCTCCGGCCTGGGACCCTGGGACATGGGAAACCTGCACAGTCCTGGTACGTGGGAGGCCGGGAAGGGGACAGTGTGCACAATAGTCTCTAGTTGTCACTTTTGGCTCCTTGATCTGAATCCTGACCTCCTGTCAGCAGGGCCCCTCCCGTGTGCGCGCGCACATGGATAGTGCAAGGCCCTGTGCAGCAGCAGCTGGTTGGGAAGGGGGTGGGGGTGGGGCTGGAGGGCAGGGCAGGCAGTTGGCTGCACAGGGACAGGTGCACGTGGCCATGCAGAGGGATGGTGGCAAAGATGCGTGGGTTTGGGCAGGAGCTGTGCCCCCAGTGTGATGGCCCCTGCTTGAGGGGGCACGTTGTGTGTGCACACAGGTAAGATAGTGGGCACGGAGAGGCGGTCTGAGCACACGCCTCCTCTCGCCGCTCTCTAGAAGTCCAGTGAGGCCAGCCAGAGAGACACAAGTATCTCCTCCTCGGAGCCCAGGAGCCGGAGCAGCCGCCACGCACTCCCTCCCCTGAGCAGCTCTCCGGCAGACGGCGCCACCAGGGCCGGGCCCTGCCCCGAGGAAGACGATGCGGAAGGGGACTCCTTCTTCGATGACCCCATCCCGAAGCCAGAAAAAACATACGGTTGGTGAGTGAACCTCCTGCGAAGTGACGGCATTTAAGAACATCAGTTCTCGGTGTTTTCGTTTTCTGCTTTTGAAACTGTGAAGCCTGTAGACCAGCGTTTGCATCACATAAGCCTGTTATTTCGTGAGAGACCCAGGGTAAACCCCCAGTCATTTCAGAAAGCTGTCTCCGTGCTCTGCTCTGGTGGCGCAGTCTGTGGTGCCCGCGCCGTGCCACCGCCACCCCCAGTCCTGGGGCAGCCGTGGGCGTGAGCTCAGCGGAGCTTCCAGACTGAGCGAGACCCGGGAGGAAGCTCTGCCAACCCGTCTGAGCCAGCCTAGGGCAGCCCCGTGGGTTTCATCCGGAGCCTGTCCTCAGGAGGTCAGCTGCTGGGCGGGGGAGGACCCTGGAGATGAGGTGGGCACGGTGCCTGCAGGCCTGGCCAGGCATGCCCGCCATCTCGAGCCTGCGGCAGCACGAGGACGGGCCTGGCGCGCCTGCCCGCGGACGCTGCGCTCGCGCTTTGTTTCCAGCTCTCCCGTTTCTGTGGCCTGGGGGAGGTCCCCAGCAGACCCTCAGTTTCCCATCCAGCAGCCTGTCCCACTCCCTCCCTGTCCCGCCCGCCTGTCCTTCCCTCCGTGCTTCCCTCCTGACCCTCTGGACTTTGTCCTGGGGTAGATGCTGCTCTCTTGATTTCAAACGGGAGTTTTTCCTAAGGTGTGTGTGCCTCCCGGGTGTTAGGACCCCCCTTACAGACCTGCCTGCGGCCTGGTGGAAAGTGCAGCCCTGGGGTGGGGTCGTTTCAAGACCGTAAGCGTGATGAGGGCATGGTCGAGGGTCCCACAGGCTCCCTCTGACGAGGGAGCTTGACCCTGGCTGTGGCCCTTTCGGGCGGGCGGCAGTGTCCTCTGGTCCCGTGTCCTGTGAACTGAGGCTTGCATGCAGGCATAGCCTTTAGCCCATGAACTCGGTGCTCAGGAGCTGACGGTCCTGTGGACGGGCTGTTATTGTCATGGGCGCTGCTGAGCCATCTCCAAATCACCACGCTCTGTGCCCGGGGAACAGGACCCGCCCAGGGGCACCGTGATCGATCGCTGTGCCTGGGCTCGTCACTGCGGCCCCTTGTCAGCCCATCTGGTCTCGGGGCCTCCCTCTGTCTGTTGACCCTCTCCAGGGACGGGTCCTCCTCACATGACCAAGCACGTGAGACCACGTCTCGCCACCCTCGATTCTGAAGAGCTTTCTCTGATGGGTTGTCCCTGTGCCCCGCTGATGGTCTCGGCAGCCCCCCAGTCCAGGTGCATCGCATCTGTGTTTCCCAGGCTCCTCACTGTCGGCTTGGATGTGTGCCAGGCCAGTAAGAATGCCACAGCACCCCAGGTCCTCCTAGCCCTCAGACTCTAGAGAGGTCTGTACCACAACGCAGGTGGCTGCGTGCGATATGTCGTCTGACAGGAAGGACGAGTTCAGGAGGGTTGTGGGTGACCTGCAGAGTAGGTTTACGAGACGCGCCCTTTCGACGCATCTCCATGTGCTCAGTGGAAATCACAGGGACTGGACATGTGCCTCCTCCGTTGACGCTGGCTCTCATCCAGTTCACGAGACAGACATACAGGCAGGTCGTGTGCCTCCTAGTCTTCCAGCCCCCACATTCTCTGTGTGGAGCCCTGGTCACCACGGATAGGTGTCAGTTTGATGCCAACGTCAACTGAGTCAATCCCAGTGAATAGGTTTCATTCGCGAAAGCCTGGCTTCCGTCATAAAGAGAATGGCTGGCCGTCAAGAAGCAAACATGGATGTAGAGGCAGTGCAGTGGGGCTTCCCACACTGCCCACCAAGTGACCCTTACGATCCTGGGAACTTAGTGTCTCAGAAGCTGTATAATACCCTATGGCGCACCCTTTACATAAACTTGTGATATCACATTTCATATAAGTATACTGCATTTAAAGGAAACACATTGTTTGTGAAGACCACGTGTGGCTTTGTTCATGTGTCACTCTGACGCGTGTCCATAGAGATTGGTGTCTAAGAAACGCCTGTAAGCCTGGAGGGAGGGAAGGAGGGAGAGAGAGAGAGAGCGAGCGAGGCATAGCCCGGGTGGTAGGGCCACAGGGGCCGTGGCTGAGATGAAGACTTGGGATGGGAAGCAGGGCCAGGCGAGAGGTGGCCCGACTCCCACAGCACAAACCTCCATGTCTGGGTTCTCAGGAGAGCCTCCAAGGTAACAGGCCGACCTGACTGCAGGCCTGCTGGGCCTGTTCAGAGAGCTGGGCAGGGCTGCAGGACTGACAGGGGCTCCAGCGGGAAGGAGGAAGAGGGCCCGGGGCTGCGCAGGCTCACCGCTGTCCTTCTCTCTGGTAGGAGACGTGAACCCGGCAAGCAGGCGGGCAGCCTGGCCTCGCTCTCGGATGCACCGCCCGTGAAGGGTGGGCTCAGCTCCCTGGCGGGAGCCCCCTCATTAAAAGATGCAGAAAGTAAGTGAGGGGGTGCTGCTGGGGTCCGTCAGCCAGGGGGGTGTGCGGTGCCAGGGGCAGAGAGACGAGGCCCAGGAAAGAGCCTACCAACGTCCCCAGACAAGTGGTGGCTGGCCCTGGCCTGGACACAGCATGCAGTGCATGCGTGGCGGTGTGGTTGGAGTGGGGGGTGTGATACTGTGATAGGCGGTACGTGTGGGGTGGTGTAGTGTCAAAGTGGGTGGTACGTGTGGGGTAGGGTGTGTGGAGGTGTGGTGTGGCCTGCAGCTGCTGTGGGTCCCCTAGTGGGAGGTGACTGAGCTTGTATCGTGTGGTGGCTCAGCCTTCCGCTGCAAGGACCCCAGGCACTGGGCAGACTCCAGGAGTCTGCTGAGTGCCCTGCTTCCTGTCCCAGGTAAACGGGCACAGGTGGGCTTGAAAGACCTGAAGTTGGTCAGCGACAGGATGGGCTCGCTTGGCCTAGGTAACTACACTCCCCCACTCCCTCTCCCGGGTGAAGACAAAGGGGCGGGGTCAGCCTGCACTGGTGGCATGAGGACAGGTGTACGTGTCTGGGGTTGCAGGTCCCTGGGCGCGAGGAGGGAGGGTGCACACGTGTCCCGGCCCAGGGTGACCAAGCTGTGGGTGCTGTGTGGAACACAAGGCACTCCCCCACGGCCTGTCCTGTGCTAAACCAGGCACTGCCCCTCAGCCCAGGCCTGCCATCCGCTCTGGGGACATGAGTGTGGGCTGGCCCGGTGTCTCCCATTCCTAGCCAGGTACCACATCCCGGCTGGCAGTGAGGCCAGGCCTGTGTGGACCTGGTAGAAAGTGTGCTGGTGGGGACCCGGGCCTGCGCCTAGGATTGTGAGCATCCCCACTGCCGCCTCTCAGCAGCATGTGCCCGGCCCTACTCCTCTCTCCCACCCATGTTGGGCTGGAAGCCTGGTTTTGACCTATAGGAGGCCCTGAATGATCTGCCCTCTGCCCGGCACCCACCTGCTTGTGGTGTACTGGGCCTGTCACCGCATCTGCCCGTAGCTCTGTGCCCACTTCCCCGTGGCTGTACTGATCCGTCACCTCATCTGCCTGGCTTCCTGCTTCCTCCCAGAGGTTGCTCCTAGCACCTGGCACCTAGGGGTTCCTCCCTTGCTGACTGATGAAAGCCATGGTTACTGTGAGAGTTTACATCACTGCCCATCCAGAACCTGGGCCCCCTCAGTGTCCTGACCAGAGCCAGCCTAGCCCTGTGCTCTGAGGTTCTGCCTCTGGGGGACCTAGACTCTTCCGTTCCCTCACACTGACCTCGGTCAGTGGTCCTCACTCAGCCTCACACCTCACCATTGCGGTGATGACCCCAGGTAACCAGCTGTGCCTCACACAGGAGGGCACGTGGGTGGTCTGATGCAAGCCAGCTGGACACCTGGCACTCAGGGTCCGCCTGCTTGGCCGTGGGTGGAAGCAGGTGATAGCTGTTCACCCCTTCGGCGGGCAGCTCTGTTCTGTGCAGCAGGGACGCTTTCTGGTCGGGCAGTTGAAGGGCAGTTTAGACTCGAGAGTTTTCCTCGGGACGCAGCCTCGTCCAGCCGTGCTCCCTGGAAGCTGTGCGCGTCTGTAAGCCACGCAGGACCCGGGCTTGCGTGCGTAACTAAGGCGTGTTGGTGACCTTCACAGGGACGAGAGATGACGAGGACTACCTGGACGATTTTAACAGGTGAGCCCAGGGAAAGGGCGGTGGGGGCTGTGGAGCCCCTGGACATGGGGAAGGAGACTGGCCAGCACCCAGGGCTGCAGTGCCTGGAGGGGAACCACAGGTCCTTGGTCCAGAATGAGTGCTTGACTTGGGAGTGTGCTTTGAAGTTTAGGAAACTTGTTCAGAGACATTTGAGAAACTTGTTCAGAGAAACTTCAAATTGTTACTGGAAACCAGACACATACTGGACACACAGAGACTGGAGGAAGCCCCAGTCTACTGCCTGGGGACAGTGCTTGCTCTTTGAGCCAGTGTCCCCTGGCGTCATCTCTAACGTCAGCAGCCGTAGCTCCTAAGTCCTCTCTGCCTCGAGGGCCGTGCTGCTGGGGATTGAAGTGTCTGCAGGAACTGACTTGCAGGCGAGCACCGGGAGGGAGGGCACAGTCCCGGGCGGCCGGGCGGGGGGCTTGGACCTGTGAGTGCATGTCCTTCCTCGCCCCGCGTCGGCAGCAGCCACCGCTCGGAGAAGAGTGAGATGAGCATCGGGGAAGAGATCGAGGAAGACCTGTCGGTTGACGTGGACGACGGGGACACCAGTGACAAGGTACGGGGCTGGCGGGCTGGGGAGCCAGGCAGCCAAGAGGGCAGCAGGTTTGGGGCAGATGACATTGTGGGGGGTATCCGGAGCTTGATGTTCTACCTGGGGCTGTGCTGCCTGCTTCTGGACGTTGCCTCTGGTCGATGGCTCTGATTGCCAGTGACTGTCACCTAAGGTGGCTGTCCATCTTTCCTCGCTGACATTGTTGCCACAGGCCCCACTGTGGCCTGGCCTCATTGTCACATGAGCCTCAGAGCTGCAGTGGACATGGGGCTGTGAGCTGGGGCCTGGGGGTGCGCAGCAGAGGGGCTGCCCCAGGACCCAGCCTACGGGTGCTTTGGCTACATGTGAGGCTGGGGGCTGCTCCCAGTTCATGCCGCGACACTCAGAGGTCCCAGCTATGCAGTGGTGGTGACACCTGGATGGTGGGCCTATGTGTTCACAGGTCTCCGCTAGCTCCGGGGGCCCCCTGTCTCAGTGGGCTCACCCCCGCCCCAGCTCCCCAGGGAGCCAGGCTTGGTTCTTTTGTGCTGTCTGGGTGCCTGGTCGGGTGGGAGAAACGGGAGGCCAGCATGGACCAGGCAGAATAGGCACCTTGTGTCTGAAGACCCAGCAGACAATGGCCAATGTTGAAGGCAGGAGCGGGGTGGGGAGCCAAGAGAGCCAGGTGGACTGGGCATCCAGTGGAGGGGCAGGGTTGCTGAGACCCCTGCGGTTACATGAGGACAGGGCCCCCTCGAGAGCCCTCGGAGGAGAAGTGGGGGTGGGGTGAAGTGCCCGGGGGGTTAGGGGGTGCTTCCTGAGGGCCAACAGAGCAGCCAGGCCACTGCAAACACACTTGGAGCTGAGCTGCTGGTGAAGCCTCCGCCACACCGTCTCTGTCCATGTTCTCGCCCTGCAGCTTGACGACCTCACACAGGACCTCACTGTCTCCCAGCTCAGCGACGTGGCCGACTACCTGGAAGATGTGGCCTAGCCAGGACACCCGCTGCCACCACCCCTTCTGTGAAGCGGACAAGCCTGTCAGCCTTGCTTCTTGCCCAGACAATCGCCGGCTGAAGGTCTGCGGTCTCTGGTGCCTTGTGTTTCAAAAGACTGCAGATATTTTCAAAAAGTAACTTTTCACCTCTAAACCAGGCCCTTGGTTTGAGCGCGTGTTTGGAAGAGTTAATATTCTTACCTGGAGTTACCCACACGCATCTCTGTGGTGATGGATATCTGAGCTCAAGTTCACCACGGGAGCTGAGCCGCCCGAGAGCGGATCCTGAGCCCGACGGACGGTGCGGGGCCTGCACGGGAGGTCACCTGACTGCGCGCATGTGTGCAGGAATGAGCCCGGACGCTGGCCCCCGGCCTGGTGGCTGGGCTGTGTGAGGGTGGGGAAGGCTGGCCACCACGGAGGTGACAGGCCTCTGTTGCTGCTGCTTCACGGAGCTGCTCCTCAGGAACTGGTCCACAGGTGCTGTGTTTGCACCTACTGTGGACGGCTGTGTCCGAGCTGGCGCCGTCCTCGTGTGGGGCCTGTTAGCCCCAAGCAGTGCGGTAACTGCAGACCCCCTGCGAGGACTTCCAGTAGCAGTGACCTGTGATCATGGGCAGCTGGGCGGGACAGGAGCCAGCGCTGGGCTGCCCAGAGCAGCCCCGCCTGGGAGGCTGTGCGGACCCAAGGTTGGGAGCAGCCGCCTGCCATGGTTGGGTCCCATTCCTGCCCGTTGACATCTGAATTAAATGATGCCCCAAGCAGGCCTCCTGTGTCCTCGCTCTGGAGGCAAGAGGGGCCAGTGCTGTTGGAACCTGAAGTGTCAAGAGTATGATTAAAGACCCCGTGCCATCACTAGCCCGGCGATTCCTCCTTGTTGTACCTGGGCTGCACAGCAAGGCTGCGGTCTGCCCCAATGACGGGCTGTCAGCCAGGCCCAGGCCTGGGCTCGGTTCAGCTGAGGGCTCAGAGCTATCCAGACCAGACCATGCCGGCTGGGACCCCGCCTGGCAGCAGCCCGGCCCGCCCGCCTTGGGGCAGACGTGCAGGTGGTGTAGAGCGCAGGGCAGAGCTGCCCGTCCCAGTGTCGTCCACCCCTCCCCCCCCCAGCTCAGCGTGGCGTGCATGGCACTCGTTCTCAGCCACCTGAGCTGTGGTAGGCAGCGTGTGGCTTTCGCTTGGGGTGACCCCTTTGAACAGTCACCTCTGAAACCTGCCCTTTTCGCAGACACCCAGTGGGGAGCTCTGTCCCCAGAGCCACATGTACCTTGCTGAATGAGAGCCTACAGTGCACCCCAACCCCCAACTCCCACCCTTGGGGCCCCAGAGCCCGTGGAACCTGAGATGGCGCCCAAGGAGAACGGCTGCGGCAGAGCCTGGGGGAAGGTGGGGCCGTGAGCTCTGGGCTCGCACGCCGTCGGTGTTGATGACAAAGGACTGACAGCCTTGCTGTCCCGCTACTGCTGCTGCTCTGGGACCAGGCTGTGTGGTCAGGTGCTTGTCCTCTACCCTCATCACTGACCACACTTCTGAACAGGGCACCCAGGCCTGCCCACCCCGCTGTGGTCTCTGCTTCCTGGGTGAACCTCTGTGCTCTCTGCCTTGTCTCCTCTGTTCTTACCCTCAGCTCCAAGGCCAGCATCTGGCTGGACTACAGCAGCTATCCCTGGGATGGTCAGTGGCTTGGACGCCCCAGGGGATTCTGGGAGATGGCGTCCATCTCCTGCTGGAGCAGCTGTCCTGCCCCCAACACTTACTCGGAGTCTGTGACCTGGACTCCTGGCCTGGCCAGTGAACGGTGACCCCACGTATGGCCAGGCTGGGGCAGAGCTGCTCTCCCTCCAGGGCAGTGACCACTCTGCTGTGGTCTCTATGCAGGGTCATGCGGTGCAGGCCTGGGGTCAAGAGAGGAACAGACAGCTGTGTCCTGGAGAAAAAGGCACAGACATAGATGGCAGGGCGGGGGGAGGTGTCCGTGCCAATAGTGATGAGTTCAGACCCATCAGAGGAAGTAAGACACGGTGACCACTTCTGCTTAGACTGCACACATGGGCTACTGTAGGTCAAAATCAACCACTTGGTTATAGATAGTTTTTTACCCTGCATGAAGCAGCATCCTGGGTTCTGACTATGTCGTCATGGGGCCCTAGTACTAATCCCATCACCATCCTGGCCAGACCTGTCCACAGGCAGCCTGTCCCCAAGAGCACATGCAGAGGCAGTCACTTGGCCTGCTTGGCAAGTCTCCTCATGAGACAGCTGGTGGAGGAACCGAAAGGCGGGAGGGAGGGAAGAAAGAAAGAGCAAGCCTTCAAAAGGTTCCAGAAAAAGTGGAGTTGAAAGATAACATCATTTCTGCATGGACTTTTTGAAGGCCCCCGTGTGTGTCCGGCACACCCCTGCCAACGTGTGGTACATTGGTGGCTGCGTGCTGGTGTGAGGGGGCAGCCAGGCTCCCAGCATTTTACAAGCCACAGCATCAGCAGAGCTTCCAGCCCAGAAGAAGCCAGGAAGGAAGGAAAGGATGAGCTCCTGGGAGCTTGAGCAGCAGCCAGCCACGGACTGATGGAGTGCTGAAAGACAAGCCCCTCGGTCGCTCTCAAGACAACGATGGGGGAACGAACTGCCTGCTCAAGCAGGCGACCACGATGACACGGATGGAGCACAGCGTGCTGGGCTTTCGTTTGCTGATGATGCGTGCGTGACTGAAAATGAGCAGAAAGAGCTGCAAATGCCTCTAGATGATGGGAAAGTGGAATGTGTGATGTATGAATCCAGGGAGCATTGGAACTGGTCAAAAAGGAAATGGAACACAAAGATTGATCTCTTGTGCGTTGCTGAAATGGTTGGTTATTGGTCACTTTGAATTAGACAGTCCTACGGTCTGCTGTGAAGAGCCCTCGTTCAAAGCATGAGCCAATCCGAGGGAAGCGAGGGGGCTTTCTGCTCCTCTAAAGATTTACTGCCTTGGGAACCCACAGAGGCTGCGGGTTCTACTCTGTCCATGCAGTTGAGGCGTCAGATGAGCTGGCTAGTCACACCAGGAGAGACAAGCCTTGGAGGATCAGCATGACATTCATCGTCCACAAGAACATTTTACCATCTCTCCTGAAGGACAGTGATGTCGGAGATAGGACAACACTGATAAGCATATGAGGAAGACCAATTAATAGAAGTCTCATTCTAAGCCGGTAATGAAGAAATAACTCTACCAACCTCTTCAGTGTGACATTGATCAAGCATACAATTAAGATGCATTGATACTTACTGGTGATTGGAGTTTGGACACTGGAAACAGGAAGGGACAGTAATTGGAAAATACAGTCCTGGCAAGAGAAATGAAGCTAGAGATCACATGACAGAATTTTGCAAAACCAACTATTTATTGAAAAAATATTTTTTTCCCAACAGCATAACCAGCAACTATACATGAACCTCAGCAGGTAGAATATATAGGAATTAAGTTGGTGACAACTGTAGGAAGAGACTGAAGAACCCCAGCATCATCAAGCAAAACGAGGCCAAGGACTGGCTGTGATAAGACCATCCACTACTATGCAAGTGTAGGTCAAAGCTGGGGAAAAGCCTGAAGTGCTGAACTTCAAGAACATTTTATGAAGAGATTCGTTACCTTGAGCACTAGTGCGTGACGTGAAGAACATAGATGAGAAAAGCTAAAGGTCGTCACAAAGACAAGAGAAAAGAAATGACGGAGACGGCGTCAGAGGACTCTCAGACTGACTCTTGTCCACCGAGTAGCCAAAGTGAAAAGAAGTTTTGAAGAAACAAAAGCCGACCAGACATTTTCAAGAGGCAGCTGGAGAAAATTAAGCATGAAAATAAAATGTGTAAAGAACTAGAGTTAAAAAAACCAAAAGGGAAGAACATGCTCAACCTAGCATGCTGAAAGAAGTCAGGAAAAGAAAAAAACCAAAGCCTGCTCTGGGGCCTGGTGGCATGGAGGGTGTGTGCTCTGGGTGCTGACTGTGAGGCCATTCAAGCCCAGCAGCTGTGCTGTGGCAGAGAAGAGACTTTGGCAGCGTGTTCCAGCTCAGGGGCCCATGGTGGCAGTTACTTCCTGTCCTACAGTGTCACCAGGACTGGATGGCCTCTGGCAGTAAGTTTGATTTCTGAAGTTTTAAGGGCAAGGTTGAAATTTTTGGGAAATCCCAAAGAAGTTGGAAGTAACCCACAATCACCATACCAAAAGGAATTGGTCCGCATTCAGCCATTTCAAGGATGGGTGGTATTGAAGAGGGTGTGGATGTGGGTAGTCCAAGCTGCACTGAAATAGTATAAAAGGGCTTCAGGAATTAATGGAATACCAATGGAAATGTCTCAACAAACTGATTCACCGTTGGAAGCACTCACTGGTCTATGCCAGGAAATTTAGCAGACAGATACTGGACCAACGGACTGGAAGAGATGCATATTTATACCCACTCCCAAGAAAGGTGACTCAACAGAGTGCTCGAACTACAGAACGGGACCGTTGATAGCACAAGCAAGCACAGTTTTGCTGAAGGTAATTTAAAAACAGTTACAGCAGTACCCAGGGAACTTCATAGCCAGATTCAGAGGAGGACTTGGAACAAGTGGTGACTGCTGACATCAATCAGGGGGAACTTAGCTGAAAATGGAGAATTCCCAAAAGACACAAAGGCATTGGACTGGGGATCATAAGTCATGGATAACATCGAGAAGAATAGGAAGTACTGAGCACGTAATTGTGCTCACTCTAAACCAGAGTTGTGCGAAACTCCAATAAAATGATTTGGAAAAAAAATAGAGGAGGCAAAGGGCATTTATACAGGTCTAAATACAGGCATGTATATATGTAAATATATTTATAGATCTATGTGTATATATTTATAGGTTTAGTACTAAGGTAGCAGATGGACGTTGGGCCTCTACTCAAGTACTCCCTCAATGCAAGAACACTTTGTTCTATTAACCTGACATTCCATGATGCTCACCTTCCCAACACAATTGCTGGACAATGCGGGTGCGTAAGCAGATGTGAAGAAAGCTGATGGTGCCCGGCTATCAAAGGGTTTAGCATCTGGGGTCTTACAGGCTTGAAGATAAACAAGTGGCCATCTAACTGAGAAGCAACAAAGCCCACATGGGAGAAGAAGCACACCAGCCTGTGTGATCATGAGGTGTCGATGGGATCGGGCATCAAAGACCAAAAAATTCATCATTGTGAAAGGGGGAGCAGAATGGGGACCCAAAGCCCATCTACTGGACAGTCCCTTACAGATGTGTTGCGGGGAGACGAGCCAGTCAGGATGCAGTATAGCAATGATGAAACATACAACTTTCCTCTAGTTCTTTAATGCTGCCCCCGCCCCCACTATCATGATCCCAATTCTACCTTACAAATATGGTTAGACCAGAGGATGTACACTGGTACAGATAAGAACTGGAAACTGAATCCAGGACAGATAAACCCCTCAGGGCCAATAATTAGAGTAGCGATACCAGGAGGGTAAGGGCAAGGTGGGGGAAGAAAGGGGGAACCAATCACAATGACTGACATATAACCCCCTCCCAGGAGGAGGGACAACAGAAAAATGGGTGAAGGGAGACATCAGACAGTGTAAGACATGATAAAATATACATTATCAAGGATTCATGAGGGAGGGGAAAAAATGAGCTGATACCAAGGACTCGAGTAGAAAAAAAAAGCTTTGAAAATGATGATGGCAATAAATGTGCTCGACACGATGGATGTATGGATTGTGATAAGAGTTGTACAAGCCCCCAATAAAATGATTTTTTAAAAGAAAAAAAATAAACCTGTACACAGGCCAAGATGTGTTCCAACAAAACCTGGGGATACTGAATGGCCTTAA